TAGAAAATCATCAAATTTAAATTCGAATAATGCAGCGAGAAAGATTTATAATAAAATAGAGAAAGAGAGAAAAAAAGACTTTAACGCGCATGAGTGTTGTCATTCGCAATACAATGTTATATGTAAGTCCCATTTATGTTTACGTAACGTTATTGTGTAAGCGTTGTTTGTATAATTTTACTGTGTACTTCATTTTTGGTTTTTTGCAAAGTCCAGTGTCTATTATAAAGCCCAAATACTGATAAGTGATAGTAAATTTGATTAAAGATTTTACTTTGCTAGATGTTCGTAGTTCCTCGCTGATTGACTCCATAAGTCCTACAATATTTGTATCAATAAAATTAAAAATATAACACTTCTTTGTACGTAAAAAGCAACGTTGAAATCATTAAAAATTAAATATAAAATGACTTGCCAATGCTCTAACTGCAAATTTCGAAGCACAGTAGGGAACTAAATTCGGAATGCCACCAATGCCAGCCAGTGACGAGAGCGCAACTACGTGTCCATGATTCTTTTCGATCATACTTGGTAGAAATGCTTGTAACATCTAAACATAGTAAAAACAGTAGAATCCTAATATAAGAAAAGTAAAAATTGAATAATTGAATAATGACTTGTAATTTTAAAAAGTGTATGCTGCACTATTTTAGAAATAATATCCTAGTATCAAATCACTTCATGTTTATTAATTATACATTCCTGACGCTCGTCTTGCTTCAGTCATACGTCTGACGCCGCTGCGTCGCCTCTGCTTACTTTCTAATATGACCAATTACTACAAATGCATTATTTAAAATAAGACATCCTTTATAAGAAATTGTGCTGATTATTCTTATGCTAATTAGATATAAGTGAGAAAAAATTTAATGTATTATATATGTAAGCTGCGTTCGCCGTTTCGTTGTACGCATAATGTCATGTATGAGATATCATTTTATCGTTGTTGTTCATAGAGTATTAAACAGAAGACTCAGACAGCTACTAAGTATCAGGTAAAACACGAAATTTGTCTTTTGCGTACTATAAATAAATATAATATATTTTTGTGTTTGTAGTTTTGTCTTACAGCGCTGACTCCTAAACAGCCGCCTAAATTATTATTGTTATATTTAATTATAAGGAGTTTTTTAAATTTATATTTTCAATTATTTTGTTTTTTATAGTGTTATTGGCTTAGTGTTTTTATAAACTGCGTTTTGAATATAATCAATTGACTTCCGTACATCATATTTTATAAGAAGATTTCACTTTAGTCAGTTGTCATCATCCGGTGATTGCAGATCTATAGGTACATTTGATGACTATACAGTTTTGATTGCCGGAGAAATCTTCTGTCACAAAGTATGTATAAAAATTGAAGGAGGACATTCAGAACGCAGTTTATAAGCACTGAGGTAAACGTCGCATACGTAGAAGCCCGTAAGTCATTCATAATGTTACATATAAAAATATTTATATTTTTTTTACTATTATTGTCAGTATGGTATGTGCTATATAAATGGAGAATTTTTTTTTTGAACACCTTATTGCATAGATGCAGACGACTTATAATACATGCACACACACATACACATATATTTTCATGTGCACGTTGATAATCGAGGAGCAGAAGGATGCAGCTTACACCACAAGGCTGTCGGCTTTCGAATCCAAGACCGCGAGCCGAAATTTTTTTGTCGGTGCATGATTTGCTGCGCGCCTGTCGTTTCGACATCGCCATCTTTCTTTCCGCGACTCCTTGTAATCTAGATCAATAAGGATCGGATGATTTCGAGAATCGCGACGAACACGTACAAATCTTCGAGAGCTGACGAGAAGTATTCATTCGTGTCCTGACCGTGCTATGGTGTCCTTTTGCTCTCGATGTTAGTCGAGCCTAATGCGATCCAAGATGACTTTTTAAACTGGAAACAAATGTTTAATTGGTCAAGCCGTTCTGGAAATATAAGCGGTCAAAAAGTGATGATTTTAATGAAAAATTAAGATTTATCTAATAAAATAATATATTACCATGAAAAGTAACTGATATATTATTAATTAAAGGTGCCAGTAAGGTATATGATACAAAGTACTGGTACCGATTTTCGAATCGCTTCCGTTTTCCGCTGTCTCTCTCACCTCACCGTCCCGCGTGAAGATTAAAATATCGCTTGAGCGTCGTGCGGCATTTGGACTGCGCGCGATAAAATTTTGTGTTAGTACAACAGACTCTTTTTTAAATAAATTAGAGTAAAAAATATGACTGATCGGAAACTTTTGCACGTCACTATATGTAAATTTTAATGTGTTACAGCGTTTTTACCCAGAGCGATACGAATTTCCGTAGCCACAGCAGCATTTTTCTTTAATTAAAATGTGAAAAGAATGCGGTGCCTCAAATGCTGCTAATTAACCTCCATCGTGTTCACTGTTGTTTTATGGAGTTATTAAATTAATTTTATAATTAGAATTTCGTAATTTATTATATACACTGTTGCATATCACAATTGTTATTTAAATTTTATACTGAAGATGGTCACATTTAGGACCGAAACGTTTATTTTGTAATTTTATGATAATGTATAATTTTCACTAATAAGAACCAGTATGTGGCAAATGCTCTTTATTAATTTTGTATTTATTTTCAAGCCACGTATAACCTTATTTATTTTAAAAAAGTAGAATTAGTTATGTTGTCTATAAAATTAAATGTAATAATCGCAAATATTTGTATATGGAACAAACAAAGAGGAAAGTATAAAAACAGGAACATATTAAGGAACATATATCAAACATAAAAAAGCCCTACAATAATATGTCTGTAGTATCACTCCACCAATTGGAAAATAAACATATGTTTAATTGGGATGATATTGACATATTGGGGATGTAGAACAATCATATTATAAACGCACGATATCTGAAATGGTACATATAAAATCACAAGAATCGGGTAACTAAGCAAAGTGATATATACGGAAAAATTTCCAGACATCTATCTTTCCATTATCACCAATGTCTCTTCCTCCCACCACGAGAAATAAATTATTTTCCCTTCCCCATGTAGTTCCTTCTTAAATGTTTATCAGTCTGTTAAGATTCTTTCTTACTAGTCTTGTTGCATCTTCCGTTTTGAACGGACGCGTCTTTGTTTCCGTTATATTTTTGAAAAGTGTGGCCGATTTTGACTGTGCCTTGCTCGTTACTCTGTAATTACTCTAAATCGTCTAGCGGTCCCGCAATTTTGGATGTCCCATGATTCGTTCGTCCTGACGCGCGTATTAGCGGCGTGGACGCAGGCGCCCGGTGTTCGTGCGGTTCTTTTCTTCGTTAATTTCCATTTTCGCGAGTTATTGTGTCATTCGTTAAGACTTTACATTACTTACCGCCTTGTGCGGCATTTTCGTTACTGGCCGTATTGACCTAGTTCTGGTCGTGTGTCATTCATTGAAGACTAACATAAGACTAAGACTGTTAAGATTCTTCATATCGTTTACATCATATTACAAAACATAGAAGTTATATCACTTATAAGTGATAATAAGTGACAACTGTAGTTGTCGTATTGGGTAGAGAGTTTTAATTATTTGAACACAGGTATGTCTGAATCTATAAAGAATATTAAAGAATAATTAAAGTTTTTTATCAAATTTGAGAATTAAATCTAATTCAATACTGGACACGATATAATTAATAATGGGTTATAATAAAAACTACAATCACTATTAATGTCAACATAAATCAATTTTGAAATAACATCTGGAAATTCTACGTAAGCAGTCAAAAGGAATAGATATTCACAATATGTGTATAACGATCTAAAAATTGACACAGCGTTTGAGGTATTCTGACGATAGTAAAAGTCATGAGGATCAATACATCTATATAACGAACCAGCTGTTAGTAAGAAAGCGAGAACAACGATGTTTGTAATTATACTCTTGCGTAAATTGTAATATTTTTATTACATACTACTGATGATGGTAAAAAATTGACCGAAACGTCTAGAGAAAATTAATATATTTTTTAATAAAAAGGACATTCGCTTTTCATAACTAGCGCTGTGGCTGTATGCTCTTCGTTTTTGTTTATTTTAAATTAATCCTGTTTTTACAATTGCGTATTGACATCAACACTGACTTCTATGGTCCCTTTAATTTTTCTTTGTTGAATTGACGGGAGTCCGAGATTTTTGTTAATTTAAATATTAAATATTAAATTTTGTTAATTAAAAATATATAAAGAGATAAGGGTAATAAACCAATAACTTCGTTAAAATCTTTAAATTAATCTAATATATTGCGAAGAATATCACTTAATTATGGCGTTTCGTCCCAGCTTCCATTACTGGACTCATCAGTAAGGCATTGTAGTGGAAGCCTACCTTATACACGCCTGAGAGAGTTATTTAGTTGAGATTATAAAGAGATATACGCGTATCAAAGCATTTGCGAGAATTTTGCGAATATCTATAGACCCCTGATGGCGGGTCGACGTAGTAATATTCTTCGCAATATTTATTAGTAGCAATATTTATAGTTTTGGGAGGGGTGGGAGGGGAATACATATATTACTTTAAATAAATATTGCGAAGAATATTACTACGTCGACCCGCCATCAGGGGTCTACATAGATATTCGCAAAATTCTCGCAAGTACTTTGATACGCGTATATCTCTTTATATAGAATCTCAACTAAATAACTCTCTCAGGCGTATAAGGTAGGCTTCCACTACAATTATATTACTGATGAGTCCAGTAGTGGAAGCTGGGACGAAACGCCATAATTAAGTATGATATTCTTCGCAATATATTAGATTAATTTAAAGATTTTAACGAAATTATTGGCTCATTGCCCTTATCTCTTTACATTAGTTGTTTAATACTGTTTAATATTGAGCCTTATCACAAACATATTAAAAATATAGTTCAATAAATATAATAATATATAATTAACACATACTTCAATCAATATTAGATGTTCTTATTTGAAAAAATTGTTAATTTTTTTAGGTAACCATGGTCATGGTAAAATATATCTTGTTCCTAATACAAATTTTATTACTTATATTGAAAGTTCCATATTATATTTTCAAAGATGTATACAGATTAATCAACCCAATAAAGGAAAAAAACGTAGCTGGTGAAATCGTTTTGGTGCGTACATAAATTTTAATATATGTATACAATTTATAAAAAAAATATGTGTATTATATAACTTAAGTTATGTGATTTTTCTAATTTTATTTAAATTTTTTTCCAAAATTGAATTTTTAAATAATATTTTCTTTAACAAATTTTTTTAATATTTAATCTTATTTCTTTTTTTTCTTATTATAAATAATAAGTGGAGAAAGTCACCGATACCGACAGATCGCTTTCTTTTAGATAATATTCTTAAACTAACAAGGAGAGGCTATGCTCTACTCTTCACCGATTTTGATCAAACTTGCAGCGATTTAGAAGAGCCTATCAAATAAACACCTGTAAAGTCGTTCACGTCAGTTGGTCAAAAAATTTGTGTCCAAAAAACCGACGTGACATTGACTTGAACTTGACGGTGTAGCCCAAGGTCAAACCTATAAGACTAGTATATACCTTATTAAGTCACTTTCGTCTAAGGCATTTTTCTCAGAAATGCATACTTTCCGAGATATTAGACCGTTTCCAGATTTTTGGTATATTTTTAAATGATCATTACTCGGCTTCTAAGGCCCATTGGCGCGAACGGCTTTACAGGTGTTCATTTGATAGGCTCCTCTAACATCGCTGCAAGTTTGATCAAAATCGGTGAAGAGCAGAGCCTCTTCTTGTAACAATAAAAATATAATTTAAAAAAAAAACATAAGTACAAACTAAAATGTCAATGTCCTATTAGATAGTACAAGCAGTTTTTTTAATACTGTTTGAAATTTTACAATAATTAAGTTTTCCGTAAGATAAGTAAAAATGAGGGTCTAACAAAATGGGCTCCAAAACTGACACAGTAGACATAGTAATGCCTATATTCCTATTCTATAGGATAAAGATATATTCTATTCTGTAAAGAAAACTAATTTATGAAACTGCAGTAAGCACTTAAAATGACATAATATTATTAATAATACGTCACTATTATTTAAATAATGCAATTTGCAAAAGAATATCGTAAATATTTTTTTCGAATTCGTAGAATTTATTTTTAACTGATTTGGTATACTGTATAGAAATAAGCCACAAATATATAAATTATGAATTTGTATTTCTTTAATTAGCTAAATAGATCAGTTTCTGAGGAATAAGGGGATTACATAAACATAGATATAAAGATTTGTATTCTAGACTTTTTTTTAAACTGAGACATTCTATTAGATACATTTGTTTTCATACATACATATTTTATAATATTAAACAAAAGTTCATTAAAATAAAATCAAAACTAAAAGCATATAACCACAGCGCTAGTTATGATGAGCGAATGTCCTTTATTCGAATTATGTCTAGACGTTTCGATCTAATTTAGACCATCATCAGTAGAATATTAAAATTATGTTATACAATTAAAAATATTACAAAGTGATATTATAATTAACGCAAGAGTATAATTACGCTATCTATTATCCTCGCATTTTTTATATATATTACGTGCTTGTTCCGTTAGTAGATCGAAGATGACCTTGTGTATTTTTTTTAATATTTAAAACAATTTTTTAACGTTAAGTGCTTCAATTAATTGTCGATTTAATGGATCTAGGGATGCCGCAAGACGAGACGAGACGAGATTTTAGGAAATATCGTCTTAAACAATAACAAGAAAGAAGGAAGCACAAAGCAAAGCCTATCACGGTCAAAGCTAGATCAAGATGCTTATTATCATTATGTGTGAATTTATATACCGCGTATGTAGTTCTCTCAATCGTTGACGAAAGTCATCAACAAGTTGGCGGGACGAAACGTCTGCAACTTGTGATATTCTTCGCAATCTTATTTTTCACAGATTTCAATTATCATTACTTTAATATTAAATTTTAATACATGTCTTTCAACATATTATTAAGAAATAATTTAAAGATATTATTAAGATCTAATAAGATGCTATAAGCATCGAAATTTGTTAGATTGATTGTCAATCTAACTAAAGTGATATTACCGCGGTAGTTATTTAGAGTTGCGTTGTAAGTCTGAAAAAATGTTCGGCACGCGATTGAGAGAACTACATACGCGGTATATAAATTCACACATAATGATAATAAGCATCTTGATCTAGCTTTGACCGTGATAGGCTTTGCTTTGTGCTTCCTTCTTTCTTGTTATTGTTTAACAATTGTACGGTCGTAAAAATAAGATTCTATTATTTGTTAAAATATCGTCTTGTCTTGAAAAAATCTTGAAATGTGCATTCTTGTCTTGATCTCGAACTCAAAAATCTTGTCTTGTCTCCAAATTCTCGACAATTTAAATAATGCGTTGTCTGCAATGTACGAAGTAAAAAGCAAGAATGAGAAATTGACCAATTACAATCGATTATTCTTCTCAGATTTAATTATAATTGGTCAATTTTTACTCTTACTTCTTACTTCGTGTATTGTAGACGATGTTTAAGGCCTGTTCTATAATACGTCGTATGTCGGCATCGGATGTCGTAATAAAGTGTTGGAATGATTAAAAAAAATGTGATTCGTGTGTTATTTGATTTACAATTAGTATTAGATATAATTTAATGTGATCTAGGCTTAGCAATATTGCACACAAAAAATTGTTTTAAATATTAAAAAAATACACAAGGTCATCTTCGATCTACTAACGGAACAAGCACGTAATATATATAAAAAATGTGAGAACAATAGATAGCGTAATTATACTCTTGCGTTAATTATAATATCACTTTGTAATATTTTTAATTTTGTAACATAATTATAATATTCTACTGATGATGGTCTAAAATAGATCGAAACGTCTAGACAAATTTAACGTATAATTCGTATAAAGGACATTCGCTCATCATAACTAGCGCTGTGGCTGTATGCTCTTTGTTTTGGTTTTATTTTATATTCTAAACCACATAACACATTAAAAAGTTCATTATTTCTTTTTAAAGCATAAAAAAATTTTTAATTATTCCATATTAAACAAAAAGTTGTAATATGTAACAATTATTATTTAAATTGTATTTTATATATTATCGTAGATAACAGGTGCAGGTCATGGTATCGGAAAGGAATTAGCGATTGGTTATGCTTCATTAGGAGCAACAGTGGTATGTTGGGATATTAATGAAGACACCAACAATGAAACAATGAACTATATTAAAAGAACAGGAAAGAACTCTGTGTATGCGTATCAGTAAGTTTATATAACAATATTCGATGAAATGAACAAATTATTCGAATCGAATTCATACGTGCATGATTATTATATGTAAACGCTTATTATCAATTTTAATTAAAATCTTTGTGTTTTATAGATGTAATGTAGCGGACAGGGAAGACGTTTTCAGAATAGCAAAGAAAGTAAAAGAAGAAGTAGGTGATGTAACTATCTTGGTTAACAATGCTGGCATAGTATTTCCTAAATTATTTCTGAAGCAAAGTCTTGATGAAATTGCACAAGTCATAAACGTCAATGTGATGGCGCATTATTGGGCAAGTAATATATCAAGAAATATTAAAGTTACATAACATAAGAAGTATTAGTTACATAACTAATCGTTAATATAATTAATTTTACTTTTTGAACGGATATATCGTATCATCTTGCTATATTTGTCACCAAATTGTTATAATTAAAGAGTTCAGACGAGTACATAATTAAGTTTTTATAAACTGTTGTTTTACAAGGTTATATTACTTTCAGACATTGAAAGCATTCTTACCTAGTATGATCGAAAAGAATTACGGTCACATTGTATCGGTTTCATCAGTATCAGCATTTCTTCCCTTATTTTTTGGGACAACTTACTGTCCTTCAAAATCAGCAATTAAAGGTAACTGATTCTTTTACAAAATGATTATAAGAAAGTACAGAATGTATATGAGCAAATCTCCACAACTTTCAAAATTTAGTATTAAAAAAAAAAATAATTCTTTTTTAAAGTCACAGTATCGAAAACGGGTTTTTCTGGCAAAGTTAGTCTTGAATAGCAATAGAAAATACGGGCTCATGATTTTTTCGAAAACTTTTTTTGTAAAATTGCATATTTGGCCTGAGTTAAAAATTTATTTTAAAAAAATATATTCTGATAGATTAAGATCATTAGATATGGAAAGGAAGTATATCAAATCGTTTTTAATAATAATTCAAATATATTTATTTTTCAAATTCCATAAATAATAGCATAACAGTTCATAAGTTATAAGACAATAGTTATAGCAATTAAGTAAGTGTTAAATCAATTAACAGTAACAATATTAAAATGTGAAATTTTTCAAGTAGTTATCTTTCGTCTTGCATCCTTTTGCTTTAGCTTTGTTACCTGTTTGGATTTAGCATCGACTAGGTTCCACTTAGGTGGCTTTAGTGGAAAATGATTACACGGAAGCTTGATGAAACATAGATTACACGAGAGATAATTAAGGAACAGTACATTTTTGTTATTTGCATTCCACGATAGCTGAAATATTTTATTAGAATTTGGGGCTGATTTTAAGTTGGGTTGAACGACTTTGTCGACAGCCTCTATATCGTTAAATGTAATTTCAAAAATTTTAATTCTTTTTCCAGCAGACTTATTAACAGCATTAAATACACCATCTGCCGACGAAATATCATTTCCAGATAAAACAAAATGGTAAAACAAAATGCGCATATCAATAGGCATATATGTGTACATTTATTCACTGTATTACATTGATATTGAATTTTTATAATATTTCATATTTCAAATTGCGTTTAATTAGTCAACGAAATGAATATGCAATTTAAGTATAGGTTAAAATATTAAGAAATAGAGTGTACATAAATGAGCTTAGGGTTACAAATCAATCAGAAAGGTATTTTCAGTGTGCCAGAAAAAAATGACAATTTTACACGCGAGGGGCCCAGCGATTACTCTGATTTCAGAAGCTTATAACTTAGAGTGTTTACAAGGCACAGTCATGAAAAAAATTGGATTGGATTGATATTTCGGAGTAGAATACATGCCACTTTTTCAAATATGGGTTACAGAAAACTTTTTTCTGAAAAAAAATAATGTTTATGAAGTTTTAGATTTTTTAAAAAGTGAGTCACACGTCTACTCGCATCTCCTATTTTGTGCCTTATGGAAGCACATTCTTGGAACTTTTTTCACTTGATAATATATATCAAATGGTATCTAAAAATAAATTTTGAAGTGATTTGCTTAAGATTTTTTTTTTTTACAACGTTAAGAAATAAATTTTTATAGCGAGTCACAACGTTAATTCTTAATAAATTCATATATTTTCGAGTTATAGCTTCATAACTATAATTGATAGCTCAAAATAAACTAGTGGAGTATACTTGTCATCATTTTCCAAGCAGAAAATAATTTTAAAATAAACATTTCCACTTATCGTAGCCCGGCTATTACGGAGTAACTAGAATTTTAAAAGTTCTGGAGATTTGCTCATATACATATATGTATACAGAGTGATCCGAAATTCGCGCATTCGGAGTACAGGACATGATACTTTATGCTAAAACAAATAACTTTTTTCTTTAGCAAAATTGCGTCCAAAACAAATAGTTTTTAAAAAAACAACAAATGATGATATTAAAATACGGTATTAAAAACAAGCAACAATATAAAAGATGACAATATATATCAAATTAGTATTCCATAAATTAAAAAAAAATAGTTTTACAAGAGAACTTGTTAAAGTTAACGAATAAGCGCTGTAATTCATGTAACACTCAGAGCCGGCGCGCGCGCCTTACTCACCTGTGCCTATAAATCCGTGACTAGTATTCATAAGTAATGTCTTTTAAAACATTCATACGGCTCTGTTATGATTAGTTTACGACATATCTTATAAGACTGTACTTAAAATAACTTATCTTAAATAATAAGAAAAAAATTATGAATAGTATCAGCATTTGACCTTTTTCTATATACAACAACAGTTCAAAAATCGACAAACTTTCTGTAAAAATTTATTGAGCCTTTAATTTTGCTGCTGAGTGTATTATTAAAACTTAAGAAAATTGTTCTACATCATATAAGTACTTATTATAAGAATTGTGTCGTCTGTCTTATTATTGTAGCTTCAACCGGACGATTTTTTTTTTTAATCACTGTTACAAATATACTCCCTTCACCCTTGATATTTTTTAAGTTTGATGATATATTTAACTATCACGTAATTGTATACAATATTTGAAATAATAGAATGCTCGCAGCTCGCGAAGCATACTATTTGTCTTTATTTTCAGATTATTATTATGTAAGCAGACAATTTTTTATTCATGTATCACGAAGAAATATAAAGGCAGTATTTATTTTATTAATTTTTAATTATTTATGCAATGTAATATAGATCGAGGAAGGTCAAATGCTGATACTATTCATAGTTTTTTCTTATTATTTAAGATAAGATATCTTAAGTACAGTCTTATAAGATATGTAAACTAATTATAACAGAGCCGTATGAGCGTCTTAAAAGACATCATTTATGAATACTATTCACGGACTAGGTATACACGCAAGTAAGGCGCGCACGCCGACCTTGAGTGTTACATAAATTTTACAGCACTTATTATTCGTTAACTTTAACAAACTCTCTTCCAAAAACTATTTGTCGGACACAAATTTGCTACAAGAAAAAGTTGTTTGTTTTAGCATAAAGTATCATGTCCTGTAGGTACTCCAAATGCGCGAATTTCGAATCATCGTGTATATGTATATCATACCGGGTGGGGCAATAACTTTGTCCACCTTGAATATCTCCGCTATTTTTAGAGATATGAAAATATTGTAATTACAAAAGTTGTACGGTATTAAGAGGACCATAATATATGCTGGTTATAATTTTTTTAGTTGGTGGCGTTTCGGAGATTTCGAGGTCAACTTCATTTTTTTAAATGGAATTATATGATATTTTTTTCACTATATGATTCCTCTAATTATTCTGTACATAAAAGTATCAAGGTAGAGTTATAAAAAAACCAATAGTTTACGAGATATTTTACACATTCTTTTGGTACATATTGACATAAAATGTTTAATAATTCGTGAACTATTGACTTTTTGATAATCGTACCTTAAGTTGCTTATTTCTAAATTATCCATTTTGCATACATATTTCTTTATAGCAACTATGTGTTTTCTTCACACCAATTGATTCATCTCATTATACTATTTACAGAAGCATTAAGGTATGATTATCTAATATTTTCATATCTCTAAAAATAGCGGAGATATTCAAGGTGGACAAAGTTATTGCCCCACCCGGTATATATATGTATATAATAAAATAAAGCGGTGTATATATATATACATACACCGCTTTATTTTATTGAAATAATTTAGTAGTTATGCATATATAACATAACTAATTCTAGAACAAGTTTGTTAGTCATAGAGTGATATCAAATTGTATCTACTATAGATAGAATATACTTATATGTGTATGTATATACCACTAATATTTAAGTATATAAATATTGTGACATATACATATATGTACATATATATATGTACTACACACACATATTGACGTTTATTTTGAATAATGTATGTATGCGAAAGTAAAAATATAAAATATACTTTTCTAATATATTAATATATCAACAGCAATGATGGAATCTATATCGGATGAGTTACGTATAATAAGTAGAGGAAAATCAGCTATTAAATTCACAACTGTTTATCCGTACTTCGTAAATACTGGACTTGTTACAAATTTCAAATTTCGGTAATTTTACAACAATATATATATTATTGTAATTTGTAATAAATTCTTTTATAACACGAGTGGCGGTTGAAAAGTAAGGCATGATTGCACGTAACTCACAAACAAAAAGAGATATTCGAATAAAACAAAAAGCATGATTACATTGGCTACGTAAAAACGTACATACATTTATTTTTCAACGTAGTCACCATTTACGTTTACAGCTATAAATGTACTTTTATGCCTTTTTTGTTTCATTCAAATACCTAACCTTTTGCGCGCACGCGAGCATTTGCGAATATGTGCGACTGTACATTACTTTTTATATCATGTACATACGCAATCCATTTTTTTCATACAGTAACAAAAGCATAGTGTATACAATATATAACAAAAACAAATTTTTATTTTAATAATATCGCACTTTTTATTTTAATGAATAATGAATCTTTATTGTAATAAATGCTTTTTACATATATCGACAACGGTAATTAATTAATAAGATATTTATGGCGGTTATTAGTAGCAAAATTAGATTAAATTCCATTTTATTTACCAATATAGGCTTCCACGGTTATTACCAGAACTTTCACCGCAAGAAGTAGCTTCGTCAATAATTAATGCGCAAAGACAAAATTATGAAAATAAAAGCATACCTTCATATTGGTTGTCCATTTCTAAGATTGGAAGGTATGTATAAATTACGATACAAAAAATGTAATCATAAATAATACATAATGAATTTTCAAATATACAATAATATGTTGCAGGATAGTATTGTATAATAAATATACTAAATTATGTTGCAGTTTTTTCCATTCGATCGCCACCGTCGCGCCACGCTACGATCACGGATGGAAGTCGGCATCATGCTTTCTATACGCGCGATGTGTGATTTTTCAACGCGCAATAGACACGGAAAATATATACGTATATATATATATATATATAAATATATATATAATACGTGTTATGTATTAGGGTGAGGCATTTAAAATAAGTCACCTGAATAATTCGTTCGTTTTTAAGTAGAAGGAAAAGTATAAATTATACATGATGCTCTTATCTATTATTTAGAAACCTAAATTAAATACCTTCTAAAAATATATTCTGCTAATGTTAAAAAAAATTCGATTGTAAAATATCATTAGAAATTACGTCAAGGCAATCGTATCCTCTCAATCCTACTTTTGCACCAGCAATGCGGCATGCAAATCTGATAGTCTGTTGTAGAAGTGTTTCATTAATAAATTTTACTCGATCGTATACCGAACTTTTTGTACTTAAATTTTCCTTAATATCTCGTTTAACTAACGTAGTGTTATTATCAGAATCATCCTTTGTTTGATTATCATTCATGCAAGTTGCTTCTTCTTTATATTTGTGCATAAATTCAACTTTGCTTTTGTTCAAATAATACAGAGCAGCTGCATTAAACGTATCACCTGCACCTAAAGTATCGATTACTTTTAGAGGTGGAAAAGCTGGCGATTGTACTATTGAGCCACATGGAGTACGAGCAATTGCACCTTCCTCTGCCCACGCACATATAATAGCTCCTCTATATATATAAAAGGACATTAATCTTTTATAATATAATATTATATGTATATTGGCGCATTTTTTATATTTATAAATATTAAAGTAATTGGTGTATTTCCTTACTTAGAATCTTGGCCGATGTTACATATTACTTCATTCATATTGCTGAAACCCAGATACTGAGCGAATTCTTTTGCTATAAATGCTACGTCAACGTACGGTAATAGATTCAATAACTCGGAAACTGATCTTTCTAATTCTACACTAATTGTAATTGGCATGCGATTTTTGGTAGCGCGATCGCGTGTACAATTCAATAAATTATTATAATTGTCTATATACTGTATCATATGCAGCGTTACATCTATATGTCTTCCCTAAAAATAGAAAACGATTTAAATAGGTACTCTGTACAATTACTTTCTACATCATAAGACAAACCTCAAAATGAATCCAACTATATTCCTCTAAATTAAGTTGCTCGAAATTCTTTAACGTCAATTCAGGTAAATTACAGTAATGTACAATTGTGCGACTTCCGGTGTTTAAACTCAATATAATAGTTGAGATGGAGCACCCAACGCCATTTATCACAGGGCAATGGGAATAGTCAATTTTATACTTGCGCAGATCGTTTTGCAGAAAATTAGCATGCTCGTCTGCGCTCAAACACGCCAGAAGCTCACACGGTTGTCCTATTAATGATAGTACAGTACAGGTGTTGGATGCATTGCCCCCTCTTTGCCATCTGTGATCAGTAGCTCTGAAAATTATGTTTATATTAGGGATGTAACAAAAGTGGTTATAGCGAAAGCGAATGCGAAAACGAAAGAAAAAAAATTTTTTTGCTAAAGCGAATGCGAATGCGAAAGATTTTTTTTTTCTGCTGAATGATTAAATCAGCCACAATTACAGACAGTCACGAAAAATAATATATAATATTTAAAAAATATTGCTAATTCCTATTCAAATTATTGAATGATGGATTGAGAGAGATGAATGCAAATGTGTAAATTAGTATTTGCATATGAACGACTTATTTATTTTAAATTAAATAATCAAATAAAATACAAAATACATTAATTATAATTATATGAAATAAAAATACAATAAAATATATTATTATTTTTAAATCTTGTATTGCAACTCGTAAATACATAAGATAAACTGACTCATATAACTTTAAGTAAAATAACTCAATATACTTTTTATGAAGTCAACATGAAATAAAATTCTTCTAAGAATTAGTTATACTTTTATATTATATACTTAATAAGAATAAGTATTACTTATTAGCTTATTTAGATTGGCAAACCATCGAATGAAATGTAAACTGCTTTCCCACCATCTAATGTGCCCTCGATGAAGCTACGAATTCCGCGGGCCGCACAAAATCTTTCGTTAAAACTTTCGCATAATTATATGCGAAAGCGAAAACGAAAGCGAAAATCTAAAATGATGCGAAAGTTTCGCTTTCGCATATGCGAAAACGAATTCGTTACATCCCTATAGTTTATATAACAAGAAATTAGAAATGTCTAAATTAAAATTAAAAACCTGTAAAAATTGCATGTTATTAATTATTTCCAAACAATTTAAAAAAACGAAGTAAAAGAATCGATAAAATTGAAAAACTTTTGCAAAACTTTGATAAATTATATATATATGTTCGAACACATTTACACAAAACTTTATTTATGTATACATTTATTTATATATACAGGGTGTTTGAAAAGTAATGAAAAATGTTGTCGCTTAGGGGTAGAATGGACTAAACTGAAAAGAAAAGTCTTCTATTATTTTATAATTTTCGCAATAATTAACGAGATATTAATTTATAAAAATATCCAAATTTGCTCGGCCCACCGCCAAATGCAAGCGCGCAATTTGTTTATAACTTTATAAATAGATATTGTCTAGCGACAACCATTACCGCTTGTTATAATAACAACGCGTGCCTAGCGACAACGGCGAACGCGCGCCACGTTGAGCGATCGTATCCAGCCGCGCGCTTGCATTCGACAGTGGATCGGACGAATTTCAATATTTTTATAAATTAATATCTAGTTAACTATTGCGAAAATTGTAAAATGGTAGAGGACTTTTTTTCTCCAGTTTAGTCCATTCTACTCCTATGCGACAAAATTTTTCATTACTTGTCAAACGCCCTGTATATATGATTATCAAGGCGTTTATAGTGTGAAATCGTGAAGCACTCCACATTCAAAATGTAATCTAATGTGAAAATCCATACACAAGAAATTCAAGAATTGAATTAAAAGCAACCGTACATTTTTTTTAAATATGCACAACTGCCAACATTCGTAATAGCAGTACGATATTGCACGCATTGCAGAGATTCGAATTAATTTATCAATCGCCAGGCAGTCGTCAAAACAATCGTCAGCCCTGATTATTATTATTAATCTTACAAATGATTTTTTAAATATAATATTATAATAATTTAATTGTAAACTTTTCAAGAACAATCAAAATATAACATTGTAATGAAAAAAGCAGATTTGAGATTAATATTATAACAATAAATTTCGTTTGTGTTCGGAAAAATACATATCCAGTTACTAGAACGTTTATCTTAACTCAAAAAAAATATCAATATTACTTGCCACTAACTTTTGAGTGGAATCCTCGGAAGGAAATTGCATGCACATTTGAACGATGTCAAGACAAACACGTCCCACACATAGAATCTTCAATGTACGGGCTTCCATGGACGATTCTCCATAAATCGTCTCTTCGTGACTTGACGTCATGTCTAGAGTCAGAATATTTTCCTCTTTACACTCTCAACTGTGTAATTACTACGTATAAACTTCTTTTTATTTTATATTAAGCAATCGTTCCTATCACCGCAAGATACTACGTACGTGTGTTTTAAACATGATCTAAATAAAGGTCAACGGATCGAGATAGATTACAACTTGACATACTTCGAGGCACCTCACTGTAAATGCCTTGAAACATCGACCAATCAGAAAAAAGAACTTTACGAATTGACCAATCAAAGAATACGCTTTAAAATATTTATAGTATAATATGTTGACCGTACATACATCATAGATTAAATACTCTATTTGTAATGCCCTTTAAAATTAGCCACAAATAATTTTTATTTATTAGAATATATACTTATATCTAAACAGATTTTACAGAATTGAATATAATAAATTGAATATATAAACTCCTATAAAAGCTGCATTTGCGTATTATAATTGCGGTTAATCAATTGATAAATTAAAAAACTCATCTATATCCCTGGCGAAAATAAAATACGTTTATTAAAAGTTTTTATAAGAAGCTTGCTTAAATGTTGAGTAGATGTTTCATTTAAGTTTTAAAGTATTTATGAGTTGCTTATGAAATGGAAATTTAAACATGGAATTGTTTAAGAGATGTTCACAATTATGTTTTGAAAAATTACGCTTTGAAAACAGTGATTCAAAATATCAATAAAACTCTTCATAAAACAATCTTAAACAGCGTAACCATCTATAAAGCTCTTCATAAACAATGTATATAACCATCGATAAAACGCTACCTAAATAGGTATAAACACAATTGTCTCACTAAAAATTTTCGCCAGGAATTTTCAAAAAAGTCAACTAATTGAAAACTTAAAAAAACTAGAAATTAGATATATGAAACTTTACGAAATTAGATGTATGTTCTATATATAGAATGATATTTTGCATATATTTTAATAATCTACTTTCATCATTTTCACTACTTTCTCCACAATTAATTTAAAAATAAATATGGCGCATACGCAAATCGCAATGCATACTTCCCGTTTAAAGCATACTTTCACGTGTCGTCTACAATATATAGAATATACAGAGTAAGAAGTAAGAGTAAAACGAGGTCTATAAAATAGAAGTTGTAGCAGTCGTAGAATTTTAAGTCGTAGAAAACTAATCAATCACAATCGATTATTCTTCTTACATTCGACAGTTAATTCGTTAATTTTTTACGACTTAAAACCCTACGACCTCTATGTCCGGATCTACAATAGATGTTTTAAGCTTAAGCCGTAAGAAATGGACGAATTACAGTCAAATACGAGGAGAATAATTGACTGTAATTCGTCCATTTCTATAAGGCTTAAAAATTTATTGTAGACTGGGATAAAACGGGGAGCATAGACTTTTGCATAAACCCTATTCTACAATAACCGTAAGCCATAAAAATTGACCAATTGTAATCGAATATGAGGAGAATAATCGATTACGATTGGTCAATTTTTACGGCTTACGGTCACTGTAGAATAGACTTAACGCATAATACATAGTGCGTAAGAGAATCAACCAATCTGAATCCCTCCTTTCCTTCCACTTCACGGAAAAGAAGAACTTTGATTGGCTGAAGGTTGCAGCACAAACTCTTACATAACGCATAATGCATAGTGCATAAGAGAATCAATCAATCAGAAACCTTCCTTTTCTCCCATTTCACGGAAAAGAAAAATAATGATTGGTTGGTTCTCTTATGCACTATGCATTATGCATTATGCAAAAGCTTGTGTCTGGGCTCTTAAGGCCGCAGCACACACTTTTGCATAACGCATAAAGCATGTAAATAAGGAATTTCATTGGCCCATTTTCTTATGCATAAGTCAATGGACCAATCAAATTCTTTATGTATACGGTTTATGCGTTATGCAAAAATGTGTGCTGCGGCCTTTAGGGCTCGAATTGGTACATACATCCGTCGGCGGAAAATCTGGGCTCTATTTATGAGCAAGTTTTATTAAAACTGTTTATTTTACGTTTTGTTAAATATTTCCAAAAAATGTAAATTAAAAATATACATTTGTTCTTATATACATGCATGTTCTATGATAAATATTATGTTCAAATAAAATTAAAAACTTGGGTTGGTTACTTTTTGGCTACTTTATTTTCAAAATCGGCTACTTTTGGGCTACTCAAGCGCCACCATTCGACTACTTCTAAACGAAGAATATCTGGTACTGGTTGGAATTTGGAAATCGCATCACTGGAACATATGTGATTCGAGATATCGAGATACATTTACGCTTGGGCGTATATGGTCTGTGGTATAAATTCAGCGTTGGATTTTCCACGCGCGCGTCTCGTACGATTACCCCGTTTTGAGTTTAATATAAATTATATTAACGACGATGGATCCACGTTTGCATAGAAGATCCGAAGCTGAAAAAGGACCGAACGATTTGGTCAGTGGTCATTTAACCTTAAAATTCCGTTCGTCGACAACAGTCGACAATGACGCACCCATTAATGGCGAAACAACGGTTTTTCCGTGTTGACACTTTTATGACAAAAGAAAAGAACGATTGCTTTCGCAGTCCATACCTTTTTGATAAAAATGTTGCATCCACGACTGCAAACTTAGTAAAATCAAAGAAAATGTTTTACATCGCTTACAGAGTCAACGTATAAAAAATTATTACTAACGTTATGGTATAAATGTATGGATGTGCTTTCCATTTGGTGACATAAGTCGACACCAATACCATTCTCTCTTTGTTACTCATGGAATGCAAAAAAGACAGAACGACAATTGTGTTAATTACTTGTATCATTAAATGGAAAACACATTCTTTGCAAGATGGTATTATTTCAATAATTTTATGGGGGATATCGACTATACTGTTATGAGCAAAAAATATTTATAAAATTAATCTTGTTTTTATTTGATATAAAAATAATCCAAATTATTATATCCAATTTATATATTGTTATATCACAATAATTGTAATAAATTTTATTATGAAATAGTATAATTTTTCTTAATATTTTCTGTTTTCTTACAGATTGTTGAGTGGTTAAATGAGGCTTCTATAAGCCTTGTTGAGGAAACTAAAGTCACTAACATATGTAAAATACAAGAACTTTTGTTGAACAAGGAGCCACATCTGTTAGAGCATTATTTAAATGACATTCTGCAATTCTCAATAGATAGAAATTCAGAAGTTAGAAAGACAATTACAGGATTTATTGAAGAATCTGGGTTATTATCAATAATTGTTACTTTTTATTATGCAATTTTGTTTATAAAAGATATATATTTGATAATGATATATGTTATAATTGATACTTCCAGAATAAAGTATCCAGAAGTAATTCCTCGTACAGTTCAAATACTTCTTAGATTAGCATCCGATGAAACATCAGTTGTGGCTAAACGTGCTCTTAGAGCCAGTGGTAGAATTCTCAGAGCTGCTCTAAAGTGGATTGCTAGTGCTTCTATTGTTACAACAGACATGGAATTAGCATGGACACATCTAAGTGCTCTTAAAGTTCAAATTATCAATATGATTGACAGCGATAATGATGGGTAAGCAGAATGATAAGGTGTAATCGAAAGTAATCTGTTCAGTGGGCATAATCCTATGTATAATGCTATTAAAATATTCTATATTTTAGAATAAGAACACAAGCTGTAAAGTTTCTTGAGGGCGTTGTTTTAATACAAACATATCCAGATCCTGATAATCCAAAGAAGCCTGATGATTTTTCTCTTGAGGATATTCCACTAACATTGAAGATAGCTCGTAGACGAAAATTGGAGGAAGAAGCAAATCATGTTATGGATTTGCTGATTAAATTTCATGGATCTCCACATGTTAGCAGTGTCAATTTAATGACATGTATGGGATCTTTGGCATTAATTGCCAAAATGAGGCCACAATTTATGTCAAATGTAATTCAAGGTATATATTTATTTATTTATATATACTATATACATTAATTTTCTGATGTCCTTCATAAAATTTAATAATTCATGTCATCATGCATAGCATTACAAAGGTTACAACATGATTTACCACCGACACTGTCTGATTCTCAAGTAACCAGTGTACAAAAGCAATTAAAACTCACACTTCTTGGACTAATGAAACACCCTGCAAGTATAGAGTATGCTTTAGTTATTGCTAAACAATTGACTCAACTTGGAGCGAAAGAACAGGATATTATTAAAGCTTATCCAAAACCAGAAGATGTCCGTCGGATCAAAAAACGTCAACAAGTACGTATATGAATTTTTAAGTAAATACATCTTGTGTTGTGCATATTATCCTTAAAGATTTATTTATTAATTGAAGGAGATAGCAGCTGCTACTGCTGCAAAACGAGTAAAAGTTGAAGTGATAACGGATGAAGCAGAAGTGGCTTCTGTTCCTACGCCTAAATTACCAGACTTAATTGAACTTTCTGAAAGTTTTATTGCCGAGAGACTCAGTGTAGAAATTGCGACAGATTTGGTGATGGATAGTATGGTATAATTACAAATTATATTGTATATTAATCTAAATCATGAAAGAAACTTTGAATTATCAATATGCATTATTGAACGATATTTAACAGGCATGGGTTCCGGATACTATGACTACAATTTTTCAAAGGGAATATCAACCCACTGCAACTACTGATATTAATATACAACGTCAAACCATTGCTAAACTTCTAGCAACACAAATTAAACAAACTAAAGCGAAAAAGAACAAAAGAGATAAGGAAGAAGATGCCGTAATGGAAGACTTAATTAAAAATCCCACAATTAGCGTAGCCGAGGCGAAACGGGAGCGTAAACGTGAAAAAGATCGGGAAAAAGAGAAAGAAGCAAAAGCGTCATTAGAGGCTCATGAGAAATCTCTTGCAAAAACCAGAAATCGTATGAAAGCGTTAAAATTAGCCGAAGTGACCAAACCACTTCCAAAGGAAACTAAAGAACGAATGTTACTGATGGCAGTCAATAGGATATTACTTTCAGAAAAGACTGCAGTTTTTGGTGGTGTAGCTGCTGTAAGGTATAACGAAGCATAAATTATTTTACATATATAAAAGTTCTTATTAATATGAGACACACACAGATATTTATGTTATATCTACAATAGTTTATCTCTTTATGCTGTATTATAGATCCAAGATTCTGACTACGCTAGCAGCCACTTTTAATCCTTACATTAAAGAAGTTGTCTTACGTTATATTACTGATGACATGCGAAATCGATTAGATTTAGCGTTAGGTTGGCTATATGAAGAATATGCATTGTTACAAGGATTTCAAAGGCGGACTACGTTATGTACAAAACCACAAGAAGCTCCACATCAGGCATATAATTTCTTATTGTGTACTTTAGTTTCAGCTATTGATTTGATACAGGGTAAAGATCGTGATACTTTGTTATCCAGGTAATATGAATTTAAAAAAAAATATACAGAATGAAATAATAAAAGTAAAAACATTTATATGAGTCATTAATTTTTTGTAAAACTTTTTTCTTATAAAAGACTTTATTTGGAAGCACCGTTAATAACAGAAGATGCTGTAGAGGCTTTAAAAATGGTATCATCTGATGAAACTAGAGGTCTTGCACCATTGCAGCTTTTAAAAGAAATGGTAGTGCGTAGACCAACCAAACAATTGGTATTTTTAAATGTCTTATTATGCCATACTGGACATGAAAACAATACAGTAAGATTAAAAATTATGTGATATATAATGCTTTTAAAAAATGTACTATATAATGTAAAATTTTATAATACATTTTAATAAATAGATACGAGAAGCTGCAATACAATTAGTTTGTCAGTTGTACAGCCGAGCAGAATTAAGTAAACTGATTGAGGAATACGCAGTACTATATTTAGGCTTTTTACGTCTTCATAATCCACCGGAAATTGTTTTTGGACAAGATAGAGGCAGACCGCAAATTGAGAGTCTATGGAGCGAATCAACTACACGTGCCTGCCTAGGATTGTATCTTGCTCTTCTCAGTGAACATCAAGATCTGATTCACGAGTGAGAGACAAAACCATTTTTTTATTATTAAAAATATATAATATATATATATATATATATTTTGTGTAAAATTTAAGTTTAAAAATGAAATATATACTTATATAAATTTAATAAATAACAGATTAGCTAGAGTATATACATCAATGGGAGCAGATGTAAAACGTATTGTATTAAGACTGGTAGAAGGGCCAGTGAGATCTTTAGGTATGGGTAGTCCACAACTCCTCGCACTTGTTGAAAATTGTCCAAAAGGATCTGAAACTTTAGTTACAAGGATTATACATATTCTTACAGAGAAGTGTATGTTATTATTACTTTAAAATATGCATTTTTTTTCAAATTTATATTTTTGTCCATTATTTTATATTATGATGTTTGTATATGCAGCTGCCCCAAGCGCAGAGTTAGTAGCCAGAGTACGCGAGTTATATCAGACTAGAGTTTCTGATGTCAGATTTTTAATACCGGTCCTGAATGGACTCACAAAGAAAGAAGTAATTGCCGCATTGCCTAAATTAATCAAATTAAATCCAATTGTCGTAAAAGAGGTAAATAACACGTTTAAAATATTACTATAATTACTACCTTCTTAAACGTGATTAAAAAGCATAAGAAATTTATTCTTTTCAGGTATTTAACAGGTTACTCGGAACACATAATAATGACAGTGGAGTTCCTCATACATCGCCTATTACGCCTGCGGAATTATTGATAGCTTTACATAATATAGATTCAAGCAAAGCTGAATTAAAGACCGTTATTAAAGGTAGTTTATATTAAGTAAAATATTTGTTTTCCTTGAGAGAAAATTTATTAATATAAATTTTATGGATTTTTTTTCTTTTATATGCAGCAACATCTCTTTGTTTTGCTGAGAAACAAGCATACACACAAGAAACGGTCGCCGTTGTAATGCAACATCTTATGGAAATGACACCTTTACCGACATTATTAATGCGTACAGTTATACAAAGCTTAACTCTTTATCCCAGGTTAAGTGGATTTGTTATGAATATACTTCAACGACTGATTCTAAAGCAAGTGTGGAAACAACCGAAAGTGTGGGAAGGCTTCGTGAAGTGCTGCGAACGCACGCAGCCGCAAAGTTTCGCCGTTATTTTGCAATTACCACCGACACAATTAGCAGAGGCTCTTCGGATGGCAAATAATTTACGTGCTCCTTTGCTTGCCCATGTTGAAGCTTTTGCCGATAATCAGGTAATTTTGTAGGAGAGACATTTTAAAATATATTTTTTAATATACTCTGCATATGTTGAATATGGCTGAAATTCTCTTTATATTACTGATATAAATTAAGCGCGATTTTCATTATTCAATAAATAAATATTAAAATAAGCAATTCTATAAAAAACATAAGCTCAAGAGATTAAATCTAAATATATATAAATTTATTGCCAACACTAGAATTATAAGTAATTTAAAAAATCATACAATATAAATATTTATATATATTATTGTATAATTTTTAATAAAGTTACTTATAATTCACACGAACAACTAGTATTGGCTCACATTGTGGCAATAAATTTATGCAAGATATATTAAAATAAGATTGCAAATTAAAAAAATATATAAATAGTTAAAATGTTTTTAAATGATATTTTCTGCTAAGATTTAATATTGTATGTTTTTTCTTTCTTTTCAGAAAGCACACATTCCACAATCAATAATGGATGTCATACAGGGTAAAGTGCCCTGTGACATGCTCGATGAGTTTGATATTGTGAGTAAAGATGCCTGTATATAAAGGATATTTTGAGCCCTATCTTTATAATATAATTCTTTAAAATAAATATGCGGTATTTTCTCGAAAAAAAAAATCTCTTCCATCAATTTCTTTCAGGCACCACGTGGTGATTATTCGAATGATCAAAAACCAGATACAATGGAAATTGATCTTTCGGAACCAGCCCCTCCCGGTTTAGATTAGCATAGAGTCATTCCAGTGTTAAGATCAGAAACATCGCTTACCGAGTATTTTAATATTGATAAATTTGCTCTGTAAATGTACAGTATTTTAATTTTTTTTGCATTGCTATAAGAGCGACATTTAGTTCTATATTTTATTGATAATAGTCTATTTATATCTCTATTTGATGCTAAGTATTTCAATTGACTAATATTTAGCATTAAATGCGCGAATAAAAAATTGTGTGATAATTTGATTCAAAATCTGAATAGCTATTGAGATTCTAGATATATTATTTTCAATTAGTTTGACATTGAATATATTATCATTGGTTTTATAAATTAATTTTATTTTCTGATCTTTAATATAATCTAGATACATTTTTCTATATCTAATATGGCAGAATATGTAGATGCTATTTTACTTCTCGTATTTAATTAATATTTGTAATAATGTTAAAATATACGTGTACTATCGATAATCTAATATTTGAAAAAAATATTTCAAACAATTTTTTATGAATTCCTAATTCTGATTAGATTTCAATTTTTATTTACATATGTATATATAAAGAAAGAAATTGTAGAGTATCAATTAAAGTATCAATTGTGTTAAGTCAGCTAAAGTACAATTTAATTTATCTCTGTTAAATTTATTTCTCATAAAATACATAAAGTTTTAAGAAAAAGAAAATTAGATATCCTCAATTATTTGGCTTAGCAGAAAATATGTTTTGCATCTTTTAAATCTTTTACATACATACATACATACGTACATACACACATATACAAATACGCTGGTGAAAGATTATTTCGATCTGCATTTCTTTCTTGCCTTCTAAAGTGTAAGTTAATTAAACAATTTTGTTTTATAATACGTGTCTATTTCAAAATTATTATATTATTGCGTTGTGAGTATTACCGAAAACTATTATTTAATCATTAATTGCAATAAAAAACAGTATATTACTTTTACAATTGAATTCATTATGTATAAAGACTAAATTACAAATCAGTCTTAATATTATATATATGTGTTACTGTTGATATGTAAAGACTAAATTACAAATCAGTCTCAACATTACACATATGTCATATGTTAAAAGTTAAAATAATTATATTTAAGTTTAAAAAATATAACATCTGTATGTAAAATAGAATCGAGTACACTTATCATATTATCATGTAAACGTAATATTTTTTCATGAACGTAACAATTTATATATAATAATAAAAAATAACAATTTTTTCATGAACGTATATAATCTGCAATGTATAAAAAGATAATAAAATATTTTTTGTTACATAAATTCTCACATTTGTTGCATTCTTTCTCTTAAAAAGTAAGTAAAATACATTATACAAAACAATTTTATGATAAAAAATATTAGAAAATATATATATTTCGTTGAGAAATTATGCAGCAAGAATTTTAAAATTAATAATCCATTAAAAATTAACCATTATACGTTGAGAATATTTACATACATCGTAATTTAAACATACATTGTAGATAATAACATATGCATTATATATATATAATTATAAAATATATACGCGCGATTATTTTACTATTATGCAAAGTCAACTCCAGTATCTAACAAATCGCGCAACATAAAAGACGCCTTTTTTGGAAGAATCCTGAAAACGTAAGAAACTATTAGATCATTCCTCTTGCGTATACGAATAGAGTTGCATATAAGTAACGAATTTACCTAAGTACATGTCCGAGATAAAACAAGTATCCTGGTACACTAAACTCCACGTAGTTTCGGCGAACACCATCTAAAATTTGTCTAGCAGCTTCTGCAGCAGACATTGTACCAAAGTAACTCGGTATTCTGCAACACGTTGTTTTTCAGAAATTAGAATAATTCAAAACCGTCACATAGATAATAACAAAAACGAACATATGAGAAAGAAATTAAATGTATAGTTTACAAATACTGGACACCTAAAACGTATATCTTTTGCAACTTCCGTTCCAACGACAAATGGATAAACGTGAACCAATGAAACGATGATGTTGCTATTTGAATGTCTTAATTCCATATGTAAGGATTCTGCTAATCCTTGGACTGCAAATTGCGCAGTAGATAAGGGAACCCGGGTTCCTCGACCGCTCGATCCATTGGAAAGACCAGCGACGGAGGAGAGGATTGTAATGTGGCCTTTACCAGTTTGTCGCATACATGGCAAAACTGAATCCAACAACTACAAAAAAAAAAGGACATTGATTATACTGAGATTTTCATGTTGAGACACATTAAAAATATTACTCACCCAAAAATGACTGATGACTGATAAATCTATAGTGTCTCTTACTTCTGATGATTCTTGTATTAATGCACGTGGACTGGGCAAACCGCAACAATGAAAAAGCATTGTAATGTTTCCTAATTCGATCTTAATAAGATTTACAATTTGAGCAACCTAATATCGACATATTAATAACACATATCAGGAATCAAATAATTTATATTTATTAAGTGTATTATAGATAGAAATGTAGGTGAAACTGCTTGTATGTACCGCATCTTTATTTCTCACGTCGCACTGGTAGCTTTTACATATTCCATGCATCTGTTGAGCACGTTGCACAGTAACATTGCAAGTTTCTACATTAATGTCTACACAAGCAACCACGACACCAAATTGACAAAGCTGTAGAGCAAGTTCCTTGCCTATCCCACGTCCTGCACCTACGACCTAAATTATGACGTTCCTTTGTAACGTGAATAGGTTTGCATTGACAAGAAGTAGACGGTAACAATGTTACCATGGCCACTTCATAGTTGAGATTTTTCAACGGCGGTGGTCTAAACATTCTGCAGATAGCAATCAGGATTGTGTAGCACACTCCGATGATGAGTGTCATGAGATCCAGTGCCAAGATGCACAACGAATATATCCGCAGCAGCATCTCCGATGACTGTATACTTCCTAGCTGCAACAGAACACAACAGAGATTGCATAACACAAGAACGTCTCGTTACATCGCATGATTACTTGATTATAGATCTCGCAGTAATTTACTTAATGTAATTTTTCTGCCGACAGTACAGATTATCCAAGATCACTGTCGTATGTACGTACCATATTCTCTTGAAATTATTTAGAAATCCTGAACGCGTGTGAATTTGGACGGATCTAAAGAACCCGCGACAACGTACCTTATCTCAAGCGATGTTCGTCGATAACAAGTGTCACGTCACCGGCCGGCCAGGACGCAATCTTTCAGCATCAGCGTTATTTGAATGCCCTAAATAAAGTTCTCGAGGGAGTACGAAAAGCGTTACACGATTGGAATGATTAGAATGAATCACTGGACTCGACATAGCCGATTAGAGCTCGTCATACTCATACCTACCATGTCTAATCAGCGTCTAAACCTATATAAAGTATAAACGTTTTCTGTCTTTCTGAACTCCATCCGGTTACTACGGCCCTCTGAGAAAGCTTTAGCAAAGCGTGTCTAATTATTGCAGCTTCATGCGGAATCTGATCTCCGGATTATGATAAAAATGAAATACATCGTCACCGACAGTTACTGATAAGAATGTTCGATGTTTAAACAATGGTGGGTATTAATTAAATTATTCCCCGATGAGAAGAATTTTATAAAACTTCTAATATTTTTAAATTTATTAAAAATTTTTTGAATACTTTAATATATGTATTTTAACTTATCTTCAGATTTTATAGGTTTTTTTTCGGAGAGATGTATATTACATAATATAAAAAATCTTAGAATATTTCACAGCATTCGAAAACAAAAAATTTTTAATTACTCAAAAAGAAATTTCAATTTGTATACAAAAATTGAAGAAATTTAAATGTTAAAAAGTTAAACAAAAATTCTAAAAAATTTTAAAATTTATGTAAAAATACTGAAAAATATTAGGAATTCTACGAAAAATTATTAGAATTTAATTTAACATTCTCAATAGAATATATTTATCGAATACGAACGAAGTCTTGTAGGTGCAGCCCTCTGCGAGATGTAACGATGTAACGTTTACAAACCGCACGACGCGATCTCATATATTGATATACACATTAATAATGTTGAAATTAATCAAAATATTATTCCCATTACGTTCTCTATATCATGCTATCATATTAATTTTTTATTACAAACACTCTCGTAATAAAATTTATTTATAATTAAATATTCGAAGGACTTAAAACGTAAAATGTATACGCAATCGTGTTAATAAACCGAATTTTTAACTTGTCTTTCTATTTTACTCTTTGTACTTAAACTGATGTAAGCATATGATTATTAGAATAGAAAAAAAGAGAGAAACCGATAATTCAGCTGCAGCTGGAGAAAATCTTTGCCAGTACATCGGCGCATGCGTAGATTGTAGGTTACGTTACATCTGACCACATCTGACTGTCATTACAGTTTTCGGGAATTATCATTTACTATTTTTTCTTGAAAATTCAACAGCCATGTGGTATGAAATAATTCCACCGATGGTGATAATAGGTTTGATACCTATATTACCTCAATGGGGAGCTTATTATCTTAATCAGTTCTTCCTGGGAAACGTAAGTACGCAAGTGTTTCGTGTGACATAACCTTCCGACCGCAAACTTGCAACAATTAATTGTTAATGCTCAACAAATTAATAAACATTTTATTTTTAAGATTTTTTTATAACATTGAAACAATCTTTAAGAAACAATTAATCCTTGGGATATAAATTTATTAAGAAAATTGGGTATAAATAAGTAATAGTTTAAATCTCCTCTGAAATCTAATTATGAATATTATGTTAATAACTTCCAAGCTAAAGACATTGCTTATTTTTAAATAAAACAAAATAAAAAAAATTGTAATAATAAAATGTACTTAGCTGATATACAATTCAAGAACTTTATAATATTATTTTATCAAATCAATATATATTGTTATTAGATCTAAAATTATACCAGTATATACTTCGTATCTTGACTTGAAGAATCTCAAAAAGATTAATTGTTAGAGATTAGTTAAGAATTGTTCTAATTTTATTATAAAAAAGAGATTTCTTTAAAAATAAAATGTTCAATTTATTGTCCATACATCACACACTTTATTCGAAGAGAGAGAATATTCTAGAACATTTTTAAAACATGGGAAAGTTCTCTGAATATCTTTAGAACATCCCTTGAAGTTACATGCTGTATGGATGAGCATTAACATCGGTAATTGTAGAACTTGTTGGAATTTGGATAATTCAAATTTTATAATTGTTACAAAATCTTTAAGAGAGTACTTTGTCACATTTTAGTCTGATATTATTTAAACAAGTTAAAATCACAAGAAGCAATTTTGAAAAAGATTTAAAGAATTTACAATACAAATTCCTTTTCTAATTCATATGGAATTGAAATGTTACTTTTCTGATTTCTGTCCAGCCAATGCGTAGAGATATGAGAGAAGTGTGGGATCGTAATATGTACACAAGAGATGTTCGTGTAGATGGAGCCCCATGGAAAAACAGGGTAATTGTTAATATATTTATAAATTACATTTTATATGAATTTAAATCTATGACTGTACTTTTATTCATATTTAATCATTTTTTTTATAGGGACTAGAGAATGTTCCTGATGATTAAAAGTACAAGTATATAATAGATGGATGACTGTAGTAATATGGTACATCACAGATGAAATAGACAAGTTTTATCATTCAATTGTAATTTACTTACATATAATAGTTAATATAACCTACATATAATGAAGTGTATATATGATATATAAAAATATATTATACATTAATTATATTTATTCATTATTTCTGATTTTCTATACACAAAGATGAAACCATAGAGTTCTAAAATTTAGTTGATAAATAATCATTATCATTATTAAAAATTAATTATATATATATATATATAGACCTTTCTCTCT